ATATATTCCGCATTTCTAACGGTCCAAAGGTGTAAAACATCCATCTTAAAGATGGATGCAAGTAGGTGATCCATCTAAAAATAATTGTAACTAACGGTCCAAATGTTTTCTTAATATAATTATTATTCTTTGTTTTCAAAATTATTATTATTTTGCATATTCATGATCTCTATGTTAAAGATTATATATACTCTAAAAATTAAAATCAAATTATATTTTAAAAATATATTTATTGTCGAGCCTGTATTTCTACAATATATGGATTGGCTGCATGCTAACAGTCCAGATCTGCTTAGGGAGTTTAATGGATATGCCCTTCGGTTATTCTCATACTATTCCTACATTCTTTTTGGGGAAATTTATCAAATTATCTAGAAAAGATGTATTGTTCAATATTTTACACATTTACGCTTACTCCAACTCATGATCATGTATTTTGTATGTGTATTTTAAAATTAAATTAAACAATATAAAAAATATATTAAATAATTTACTTCCTTATCTTTTTAATAGAAAATGTTAACCCTTTCTCATGGACGCCTCTTGCATCGCATGAGTTTGTTAGGTGCCTTCTTTGCATTTGGTTGTCGGCTGCCAATCAATTGCATAACGATGGGAGAAAAGGTTTCTCTTGTATAGAAGATAATGTGCATAGCCATTCCATTTCCCACGCGGATAGCGTGTCACGCGGATCCTTGTCAGATTTTTGGATGGATGATTTGGATTGAGTATGAATTGATGATCTTAAAAAAAAATAATAAATTTATAAAATAATATTAAAATATTAAAAAAAATATATGAAAAGGTTCCTATATTTCGTTTACAAGATATGTATTTCTTCATTTTGCCGTTCAATTTAGATCAAGTGAACCACTGATCGTTTGATCTAGATTAAACGTCTTAGAGTATTTCGTTTGTTTGTTTTTTATTACAAATTTTATGAATATGAAATTTGGTACACATGATCTTCTCAATAGGGCACACCTAAAAAAATGTATTGATAAAATATAATAAGTAAAATACCCCTTGAAATTTTTAAAGGTATTTTAGTAATTTTATTTTAATGAAAATATTTTCATATATGTATTTTTTATAAGTAAGGTTTTAAGAGAGGTGTGGACACCCAAAATTTGGTGTCAAAATATTTTGTAGAAAAAAATTAAAAATAAAATAGTGCAAAGACATGACATTGTGATTGGGATTATCTCTTCCAAACCATATAGAAACCATATAGAACAAGGAGAAATATATAAGTTTTGTGTAGTAAAAAAACCATAGAAAACTAACCCAAAAAATAGTGGGTGGGAGATATAAAAGGAACCTAAAATGTCTTAAATATATATATATATATGCTGTTTTGGGGAACTAGGCCAGACTCATACGTTCCTGGAACCGATTTGGTCAGTCTAATTTTGGTCAGTCTAATTTTTGTCCAGATCAATAATCCAAATAAAAAATCATCTGATTTTAAAACAATAGGTAACGCAAAAAATGTGGTACCCTGTCGGAAATGGAGCTCACCAACGTTGCCGCTCCAATTGTCAAACACATCACATTAAAGTCACCTGAGAGAGATGGCCGCCGAAATTGTAATTCCAATTGTTAACCACACCTTTAAAAACCCAAGAGAGAGAGATAGAGCTCTAATTGCCAAGCACAGCCGTAGAGAAAGAGACCTCTCCTCATAGGAATCGGGTTTGGGTCAAGACAGTAAAGGATGGGTTTTCATAGCACAATGTTTCAAGTGAAAGACATACCTACGTGATATTTTACTGGAGAATATATATATATATATATATATTTTTTTTTCTTCACCCCTTTTTTTTGACAAAAGATCACTTACATGTGGTCTTTATTATAATAAAATAAATTTCAAAATAAAATCAGCATAACAATAAAACCAAGATTTTAACAACTTGATGTCATTAAAACAGTTATGCACTATGTGTTTGAATAAAAGATAGGATTGCAAGAAACAAAAAGAAGAATATCGAAGATTACCTCAACTGGGCTTATTATACCTCAAACCGAGTCACCACCATCCGATGACGTGGAATCAACGGTCTAGCTTCAATATCGAACAGGGAAAGCAAATTTTGGCTAAGCCA